CGAGACAGGACGCGACGCAGGCTCACGACGCTCAGTAAGACTCCCTAGCTGCTCAGTGTAAGGAGAAGGAGCAGGCAGCGGTGAGCCAGGCTGTAACGGAAGACCAGTAGACGAAGGGAGACTAAGAACCTGGCGAAGCACAGAGTCAGGCGGTGGCTGAGACGACGGAGACGGTGGAGCGAAGAACAGGCGCGGCTGTGCAGTGACACCAGCACCAGCAGCTCCAGTACCCCCAGCAGCTCCAGCAGCTCCAGAACCTCCAGCGCCAGCACCCTCAGCAGCTCCAGAACCTCCAGCTCCAGTGCCACCAGCGCCAGTACCTCCTGCAGCTACAGAACCTCCAGCGCCAGCACCCTCAGCAGCTCCAGAACCTCCAGCTCCAGCGCCACCAGCGCCAGCACCTCCAGCAGCTCCAGAACCCTCAGCGCCAGCTCCTCCAGTACCAGCTCCACCAACAGCAGCACCCCCAGAACCGGCACCTCCAGTCCCAGGGTCTCCAGCCTCAGTGCCTCCAGCAGCAGCACCCTCAGGCTCAGCACCTCCAGTCCCAGCAGCTCCATTACCTCCAGTACGAGCACCTCCGGGACCAGCACCACTCCCAGCTCCAGTGACGTCAGCAGACGTACCTCGAGCGGCAGAGCCCCGAGCTCCAGAAGCGCGACCCTGACGGCGACCGTACCAGTTGTGCAGCTGCTGCGAGGTGAGAGGCACACGCGGACGAAGGCGGCTACTCCAAGGAAGCCGCGCATCAGCAGACGCAGAACCCTCAGCGCCAGAACCCGCAGCAGCTCCAGAACCTCCAGCTCCAGCGCCACCAGCGCCAGTACCTCCAGCAGCTCCAGAACCTCCAGCGCCAGCACCCTCAGCAGCTCCAGAACCTCCAGCTCCAGCGCCCTCAGCAGCTCCAGAACCTCCAGCAGAAACAACTCTAGTGGCAGAGTCACCAGCTCCAGCGCCTCCCGCAGCAGGGCCCCTAGCTCCAGCAGCGCGACCCTGACGGCCAGCGTACCACTCAAGCAGCTGCTGTGGGGAGAGAGGGAGTCGACGACGAGAGTGCAGCGGCGAGGCACCAGCGGAGCGACTACGGAGACGGTCGCCCCAGGGAGACTGCTCACCTGACGCCTCAGCGCCCCCAGGCTCAGCACCCCCAGACTCCTCACACCCAGGCTCAGCACCTCCAGTCTCCGCACCCCCAGGCTCCGCACCTCCAGGCTCCGCACCCCCAGGCTCAGCACCCCCAGGCTCCGCACCCCCAGGCTCAGCACCCCCAGGCTCCGCACCCCCAAGCTCAGCACCCCCAGAAGCAGCAACCCGAGTAGGACCACCCTCAGCAGGACCTGAGTCACCAGTGACCTCAACCGGCTCAGTCAAGGGAGGAGGGTCTACCTAAGACACACCTGAAGGAGCAGGACTGGGAGCGGGGAGGGGGTCTACCTGGGGAGCACCTGGAGCGAGGAAGAGCGGCGGGGGGGGGAGAGGGGCAGTGCGGTAGGGGAAGAGACGGTAAAAGGGAACCGACTCGTCGAACGTGACGTCCTGAGAGGGGAAGACACGACGCGAGGTGGGGTGGTAAAACTGCCAACCAGGCGCGTCAGGGACAAAGCCAAGGAAGACACAGGGAACAGCGCGGGCGGAGAGCTTGTCCGCGGTGGTATCGCGGACAAAGGCACGAGCACCCCAGACCCGGAAACCCGACGCATCGCCAACCTTCCCCGTCCACAGCAGTGTGGACGAGGTCTCCGGCAAGGAGACACGGGGCCAGAGGTTGAGCTGATGCGCGGCGTACCGGACCGCAAACGGCCACAGAAAATGGGGGGCAGCCGCATGGATCATGGAGGTACGAGCGACCTCCATGACTAAGCCAATGCGGCGCTCAGCAACCCCATTCTGCTGCGGAGAGGCCGGAAGCGTGAACGTCTGGCGAATGCCGTGCTCCGCACAGTATGCTGCCAAGAGGTCTGAGGAGAACTCACCACCTCTGTCAGAGTGCAGACGCAGGACAGGAAAGTCCGACTGGAACCGCTCGCGGAGCTGGAGACGAGTAGCGCGGATCCAGGGGATCAAAACATCAGGGACCTCCCCCTTGCTGCGCAAGGGGAAGACCGTGGTGTAACGCGTGTAGTCGTCGACGACCAGCAGGAAGTACTACTCGTGGCCCTGTCCACGGACGCGGGCTGGGCCCCATACGTCCAGGTGGAGAGTCTGCAGGGGAGCCTCTGTGGGAGGGAACGAGGAGGAGTGAGGAGCGGCGCGCTGCCGCCCCTCGACACAGGGAAGACAGGGAGGAGCAGGCGAGGGTGGTAGAGGAGGCAGAGTCTCTGGAAGTCCAGAGACAAGGAAACGGCTGTGCATGCTACGAAGGCGCTGCACCGAGGGGTGACCAAGGCGGTGGTGCCAAAGGAGGGTCTGGTGCGACAGAGGGCGACACGAGCAGGGGGCCGCTAGCTGACCTGACGCAAACGCAGACGCAGACGCAGCTACCTGAGGGGACACAGTGGTGAGTGTGTACAGACTCGAGCCAGGCTCTCGGGTGAACGTGGCCAGGTGCCGACCAGTCCGGGAACACGTACAGTGTGTCACACGCTGACCTCCAGGGGTGAACTGGTCAACCCACACATCCTGTAGGTCAGCTCCACTCACCAAGTTCGTAGAGAACGAGGGGAGGTGAAGACCTGACAGGGAGCCAGACGGGACCGCCGGACACGGCAGGACCGTGGAGGAGTGCGCAAGGACTGGACCCCCAGAGGGGTCTGCCAGGGAGACTGCAACCGGCCGACGGAGCGGCGTGAGTGTGGTGCTGTCGCGGAAGAAGGAGCGGGAAGCACCTGAGTCAAGTGTGAAGGTGTACACGGCCTCAGCAGGCGCAGTACCAGAGAGAGCAGACTCACCAGCACCTGGAGCAGCAGCCTCACCAGTACCAAGAGCAGGAGACGCACTCGCACCTAGAGCAGCAGCCTCACCAGCACCTAGAGCAGCAGGCTCTATACCTGGGTCAGGCGGTACGCACAGGGAACAGGCACGGTCAGCACTAGTAGGCAATGCATACATGGCAGTGAAAAGATATCTACCCTCTGTCCAAGCAGCTCCATCCAGGAGGGGAGCTCAGCCTCGTCGCCAAACTCGGTACGCCAGGCGTCGCTCAGACGGGCGAAGCAGCGGGACTGTGTGTGACCAAGCGTCCCGCAAGGCTGACCAACCCGATCACCTGTGCGAATGACGTACGGACAGCGAACGGTACTCAAAGACCCTCTACGCTGAGCGTACCACTCGTGAAGCTGCTGGGACGTAAGTGTCTCGCGTGGACGCCGCTGCAGCTGCAGCTGGCCACTGCCAGACGCTCCCAACTGACCAGCTCCAGGGCGACAGTTACGACGGCGACCGCCACAACCCCAACTAGCGTACCACTCACTAAGCTGCTGGGGCGTGAGAGACTCGCGTGAATGTCGCTGGAGCTGCATCTGGCCACCGCCAGTAGCAGTAGTAGCAGCAGTAGCAGCAGCAGCAGCAGCAGCAGCAGCAGCAGCAGCAGCAGCAGCAGCAGCAGCAGCAGCAGCAGCAGCAGTCTAGCAGTAGTAGTAGCGCAGGCAGGGCAGGCGCGGCAGGCAGGCAGGCAGGCAGGTAAGTGCTCACCAGTGGCGAGAAGGGCAGGCTCACAACGGCGGCGACGGCGGGGCCGCGACAGCTGCGGCAGAGCAGGACCGCGTCGGAGGAAGGGCAGGTCCGCGACAGCTGCTGCAGGGCGCGGACGTGACGGCGGCAGAAGGCTCCACGGCAGCTGCTGCAGGGCAGGGTCGCGACGGCTGCAGGAGGCTCTGCGGCAGGTGCTGCAGGGCGGGGCCGCGACTGCGGCAGGGCGCTCCGTGGCAGCTGCTGCAGGAGCGACGGCGGCGTCCAGGGGCAGCCGCGGCGCGCGGGGCTGCAGCGCGCCACGCGAGCTGCAAACGCGGCGCGCGAAGCCGCCGCGGGCTGCGCGAGGACGGCAGCCGCGGCGCGCGGGGCTGCAGCGCGACGCGCGGGCAGCGAACGCGACGCGCGGCGCTGCAGCGCGACGCGCGGGCAGCAGCGCGACGCGCGGGCTGTGGGCGCGACGCGCGGGGCTGCAGCGCGACGCGCGGGCTGTGGGCGCGACGCGCGGGGCAGCGAACTGGCAGGGCGGCGCCCTGGCCTAACGGGCCTGCAGGGGCGGCGCGCAGGCCTGACGTGTCTGCAGGCGCGGCGCGTGAGCCTTGGGCAGCAGTGGGCAGTACGAGGGCTGCAGGACGGCGCGCGCAGCGCAGCACGTCACAAGGCAAGGCAGGCAGGCAGGACAACACGTGGGGTAACACGGTAACCGCAACGGTAGGTGGGCCCGAAAAAAAAAAACGGTCCTACGGACCTAGTGTTCTGAAACCATGTCAGAATCAAGCAGCAGGAATGGATGAACTATGAAAGAGTTGGGTACAAGTATGAAACCCTAAAAAGGGCTGTACCCCATATTGGCTACCCCACTACAGCCTACACACATATAACATGCATATACTTTGACACCTACAACATTGCGTACAGCAGCAGCCGTTGTTCGCCCGTTACTGCTAACGGGACTTCGCCAATTTTGCGCGCACTGTTTTCACCAAACCTCGCACTGCTGGAGCAGCCGAGTCGGCCTACGCTTCGGGACTAGCCCGAGCCTCGCGCCAGCGTAGCACTAGCTAGCTCGCACGCGCCGCGTTACCGTTTGCATGTTTCGCGTATAAATGTTCGCTCATGCCTTCGCTCACATTTTGTACTCGTTTGACAACTTAGTGCAATCCTCGCTACCTCGATTCATTGCACCCGTAACACTTCTCTGCTCCTACTAGCACGAATGATAGCACCTGCAATAGACTAGTGATGCAGTCACTTATTTTTTTTGTGGTACTGTAAACTTTTACAACTATATCTTGGGAAAATAAGGTTCGTACAGAAAAACAAACATATATACAGACACATTCACAATTTGTGGAACGGATCACCCAGTGCACTCAGTCATCCACTTCCTCTTCTCCTGTCTCGGGCCCTTCGAACATCTCTTCCAGAGGTGGTGGTGGCACGGGCATGCAAGCCTGCCCCCTCTCCCCTGACAGGACACACAGTGCCTCGGCGTCCCTGAGGGCTGCGTCCAGGTCGATGTGGCCGCTGAGGTCGTTGGCGAACTTGAGCAGCGAGTCAAACTCCATCTGCTCACACACAACACTCGTGGTGTTAACCTAGCCAATATAATAATGCCATGCAATACACATCACCTCATCACCCATACACCAACAGGCATCCTCTTAATTCCCCAACACATAGTCAATCCCCATGCGCCCACTTCTGCAACCCACTGCCCCCACCCCATGCCCAGTACCCCATGACCCATGCCCCCTTCCCCCCCTCCACCCCGCCCCTTCTAAGGCCGCACCTGTTCGTCCATGATGCGGCGGCGGTGGCGTTTGAGCACGGCAGCAGCGACGAAGAGGTGCAGGTGCTGCGACAGGTGGCAGCTCCACAGCGCCTCCCACAGCCGACACGTGCCCTCAAACTCAAACTCCCTGCCACCCTCCCATGCAGTGCAGCACAGCGCAGGTCAGCACAGAAGCACAGGGATGATGGCATATGTGGTGCATTACGGGAACAAGTGGTCATCCGGCAAGCCAGAGTCGGTGCTCGAGGCGGCACCGAATGAGAGGCAGCGAGCAGGGCAGGTGGGCATGGCACACCTCTTGAAGCGCACGAGGGCAATGGACCTCTTGAAGCGCACGAGGGCAACGCACCTCTTGAAGCGCACGAGGGGAACGCACCTCTTGAAGCGCACGAGGGCAATGCACCTCTTGAAGCACACGAGGGCAACGCACCTCTTGAAGCGCACGAGGGCAACGCACCTCTTGAAGCGCACGAGGCAACGCACCTCTTGAAGCGCACGAGGGCAACACACCTCTTGAAGCGCACGAGGGCAACGCACCTCTTGAAGCGCACGAGGGCAACGCACCTCTTGAAGCGCACGAGTGACAACGCACCTCTTGAAGCGCACGAGGGCAACGCACCTCTTGAAGCGCACGAGGGCAATGCACCTCTTGAAGCGCACGAGTGACAACGCACCTCTTGAAGCGCACGAGGGCAACGCACCTCTTGAAGCGCACGAGGGCAACGCACCTCTTGAAGCGCACGAGGGCAACGCACCTCTTGAAGCGCACGAGTGACAACGCACCTCTTGAAGCGCACGAGGGCAACGCACCTCTTGAAGCGTACGAGGGCAACGCACCTCTTGAAGCGCACGAGGACAACGCACCTCTTGAAGCGCACGAGGGCAACGCACCTCTTGAAGCGCACGAGGGCAATGCACCTCTTGAAGCGCACGAGGGCAACGCACCTCTTGAAGCGCACGAGTGACAACGCACCTCTTGAAGCGCACGAGGGCAACGCACCTCTTGAAGCGCACGAGTGACAACGCACCTCTTGAAGCGCACGAGGGCAACGCACCTCTTGAAGCGCACGAGGATCCAGCGGAAGCAGAAGAAGAAGTTGAGGCAGTCGACGCTCTCCAGGTACTCGTACAGTGGCGGGTCCACTAGCTGCACCAACTGCTCATAGGAAGGGGAGGGGGGGGAGAGGCCGTGAGGAGAGAGGGGGATGAGGGACAGCATGCACAGGTCAGTTAGGTGTGGCATTTAATCGGCACACGACTAAGAGGTGGCGGGCAAGGTGGATGATGGACGAGGGAGAGGCAACACAAACGGGTAGTGTGCGAGCATGCACCTTGGAGAGAGCACAGAGCTGGGCGTGCATTCACCTTGGAGAGAGCACAGAGCTGAGCGTGCATGCACCTTGGAGAGAGCACAGAGCCGGGCGTGCATTCACCTTGGAGAGGGCTTGCAGCTGGGCGTGCATGCCGCTCTGGTCGCGGTGAAAGTTGGGCGCCATGGTGTCCATGTATGCCGTGAACGCCCAGAACGCCTCCACCTCGTCCCCCAGCACCATCAGCAGCGGTGCTAACAGGTCTCCCATGCCCTGGGGAGAGGGAAGGCGGAGACAGGGGAATGGGACGCGAAGAAGAGGCAACGAATTGGTTGGTGGAACGTGAGCGAGAGAAAGATGTACACATACCTGGCATCACAAGTGAGAGTTGGGTGTGGAGGAGGAGGATGGAGGGATGACGGCAGCAAGGCACCTGGCATGCGCATGTAAGGCAGCAAGGCAGGCAGTAGCCGACAAGGCAGGTAGCATCAGCTGGGAATAGCCGAGGTGGCAAGGCAGCACCTGGCAGCAAATCACGGGTGACAGCACCTGGCAGTAGCCGAGGTCGAAGTTGTAGAAGGCGTAGGTGATGAGGATGCGGCGCACGCGCTCCAGATTCTCATTGCCCTCCCCCGCGAAGAAGGGCAGGTGCCGGTCCGTGCGCACCTGGTGGGGGTGGCGTGCCGGGTGCAGGGTGCATGGCACATGGTGAATGGCAAGGGGAACGAGGTCAGGTTCGGGAGACAAGTTGGAGCAAGAGGTGGGGAAAGAGAGGGGGAATCAAGGGAAAACAAAGCGGAACATTGTGCAAAAAATGGAGGATTTTATTTGGGTGAAGCACACGACTCTGCGATGAGCACAGAAACTGGAAGGGCAAGCCGGCACGCGCTGGCGGGGGCGGAGGGGGCGGAGGGGGCGGAGGGGCGTACAACGTCCTTGTCGATGCGGCTGCACCTCTCCCTGTACTTGGTGAACCGCCTCGCCTGCTCCTCACTTATGGACTGCACACCATGGCAGCAGCATGGGGGGAGGGGGGCAGTAGTGCATGCAGTGAGGGAGCAGATCGATGCAAGTAGGAGCAGGGAAGAGAGAGACGGTGTAATGTGTTTAAACTGTGTCTCCTGGCATCTCACAAGCAGCGCTGACAAAGGCCCCTGTGAGCCCAAGTGCGGCCCACCTGCCACTGCAGCAGCAGCGAGTTGTATGCGGAGACCTGCCTCTGCCGCAGCTGCTCCCTCTCCGCGTGGCTGGCATCCCATGGCACATAGCCCAGTAGACGCGGCCACACCTGCTCGCTCCATTGGGGTGCGTGGGGGTCATGGGGGGCATGGGGGGCATGGGAGGCATGGGTGATTGGAATGAGAGCGGGTGGCGAGGGGCGGAATGAGATGGGTATGTGCATGGCATGTGGAGGTGGTGCGTAATGTGCCATGGTACCACCCACCCCATGCATACATGCACCTATGGCAGCAACAGTGGGGGCACCTGGGCGCGCAGCTGTGGGTCCATCCCGCTGTAGAAGATGCGCTGCAGCACCGCCTGCCTGTTGGCCTCGCTCACCCGTCCCTCACTGTCCTGAAATGCCCTCCACTGGTGGGGTCCATGGAAGGGGGGAGGGGGGGTGAGCAAGAGCGGAGGACGTGTGGGGGGAGATGGAAGCTGATGTAGCGAGAGGGTCAAGGCGAGGGAGGGCGGGAGCTGATAAATGAGTAATCATGGATCTGCGGAGGGGGATAAGGTGATGCGCATGGCTGCATGGCAGCACGGTAGCATGGCAGCATGGCGCACAACTGACCTCGTCTGCGGAGAGTGGTGGCAGGAGAGGGCGAGGCGGCACGAGGGAGGAGGAATTGTCCTGCAGGGGGCATGGGCACACGAGGCATGCAGCGTTGGAAGCCCAAGTGTGTGCATGCACATGCACGGTGAATGACAGGCGAGAGAGGGAGGAAACGCAACGCACAGGCAAGGATGCAGGGGAGGAAGCGTGGTGTGCAGGAGACATGCGGGCATGGGGCATGTGGGCATGGGGCATGGGGCATGGGGCATGGGGCATGCGGCATGGGGCATGGGGCATGGGGCATGGGGCATGGGGCATGGGGCATGGGGCATGGGGCATGGGGCATGCGGCATGGGGCATGGGGCATGGGGCATGGGGCATGGGGCATGGGGCATGGGGCATGCATGACAGCGTCACCTGAAAGTCATCCAGCAGCTCAAACTCGCCCACACCTGTGCTCTCCTCCGTGCTCCCCTGCATGCACACACACACGGAGGGTATATGGGGCACATGAGCGCTCACATGTGCCATCACACTCCACTACCCACATCACATCCCCCCCCAATCCTCCCCTTTCCTCTATCCCTCCCCCCCCCAACGGCACGGGGAGCACCTTGATGGTGGTCAGGCGGCTCAGACTGCCCTCACTCTCGCCCTCCTCCTCCTCTTCCCCCTCCTCCCCCTCCCACCCGCCCCCCCACGCGTCAGCAGCAGGCATGCGCTCCTCCGCGTCTCTGCCGCCCAGCAGCCGCCCCTCGTAGCCGCCCATGCCGCCCAGCCCGCCCATGGCCTCCCCCATGGCAGCGGGGGCGGCGGCCAGCATGCCGCGCGCCATGCGCGTCACGGCGGAGAACCCCCCGAGCACCTGGGGGACACAGGGTCAGGAGGGCGGGGGGAGGGGGGGGAGATGGCACAGGCACGGGCAGGGCATGAGCATGCATGCACTGGCCAGGCAGGGCGGCCAGCATGCCGTGTGCCATGCGCGTCACGGCGGAGAACCCCCCCAGCACCTGGGGAATAGGGGGCACGGGCGGGTGGGGGGGGGGGAGATGGCACAGGCAGGGCAGGGCATGAGCATGCATGCACTGGCTGGGTGTGTTTCTCGAGCGGCACTCACAGCGCTACCTGGCAGCTCCACACCCCACCTGCATGGAGATGTCCTTTGCCACATCAGCAGGCTGCTGGCGGCGAGTGCTGTTCAGTGCACGGTGGTGCTGGTGCTGGTCGTGCTGCTGGTGCTGGTGGTGAGAGAGAGCCCGGGCGCGGGCAGCGTCCTGCAGGGCGCGTTCATTGGCGGCCTCCAGGATGCACAGCATCTCCGCCTCCGATGGCTGCTGCTCTCCCCCGCCCCCGCCCCCCCCTTCCCCTGCTTCCCCCGCCCTCCCCCCTCTCTTCTGCTTGGCCTGCTGCTGCGCCAGGGCATGAGCGGCCTCCAGCATGCGCAGCATCTCCGCTTCACTCGGGTACTGCTGCTCCTCCCCCTCCTCCCCCTCCTCCCCCTCTCCCTCTCCTTCCTTCCCCCCCTCCTCGCCACCCACCCCCTCGCCAGCAGCAGCAGCAGCAGCAGCAGCAGCAGCAGCAGCAGCAGCAGCAGCAGCAGCAGCAGCGTGTGGCACGGATGTGCTGCGCTGAGTAAGGGATGGGGGCAGCCTGTTCCGCCGCACCGCCTTCACCCCCTCCCCCTTCCCCCTTTCTGCGCCCTCCGCGTCCTCCCCCCCTTCCCCCTCGTCCTCACTCACACTGCCCAGCGCCCTGCTGCCCCCCAGCTGCCCGAACGCCGATGCACTGCGCTCGCCCAGCCGGTAACTCCCTCCCGCCCCCACCCTCCCCCCTGCGCCACCCGCTGCTGCTGCTGCACTGGAAGCGGCAGCATCAGCAGGCGCAGCAGGGGGAGCGGAGGGGCGGAAGGGTGGCGCGTGGCGGCGGGCGGCGGGGAGCGACATGGAGCGGAAATTGGCGGAGGCGGGCGGTTCGGCAGGCTCGGTGGAGGGCGGATCCCAGAGATGCAGCTGCGCTAGACTCCTCTGCTCACACCATGGGAGGGCGGACACGTGGGGGAGAAAAGGGGGAAGAGATATGGAAAATGAGATGAAATGTGTAGTTGAAACGGCAGGGCAGAGCAGGGCATGGCAGGGAAGGGCAGGGCAGGCATGAGCAGAGAAGGAGTGTGGAGAGGCGGGGCACCTGCAGGAGGTCGAAGGACTGGTTGACGTTGTAGACGTTGGGGTCGTCGAGGGAGCGCTCGAGCATGGCGTGCTGCTTCAACACGTGTAGGAACTCCTTCACTCCCCCGTCGTAGAAGTAGAGCGGCGGGAACGCCACTCCTGCACCCCCCACACGGCCACACACACAGGGTCAGCTCAGCATTGATGGAGGGCAGATACGGGGAATGTGAGGAGGAGAGGGAGGGGCTGGGAGGGCTGCCTGACCTGAGGTGAGGACGATGATGATGTAGTGCCATCCAAAGGGTGGCGTGTGGCGGCGGATGGATCGCATCTCCGAGACAGCCACGGAGCGGATAGAGTAGAGCAGACTGCCGCGCGCTATGCCTGCTCCGTTGGTTGGGGAGGAGGGAGGAGGGGGAGGGTGGGGTTATTGGGATGATGCCCCATACGATGCACTGAGGGAGACAGCTCACACGAAATGTGGAAAGTGCAGGTGAGGAGGATGACGAAGCAGCAGCTGACAACACGAGACGCACACATGCATGGACCATGGTGAGATGAACGAGATGCCAGGCGGCAGCATCACCACACTGGTTGGTTGACCAGTGCGGAGCCGTGTGCAATCAACGCATCTACGCACCTTTAGGAGTGCCTGCGGGCGAGGAGGGCTCGTAGGGAATCCAGTTCTGGCAGCAGTGGCACAGGGCGGGTATGTGGGGCAGGGAGTGCATACCGGTGTGGCATCAAATGGTATGGCATGGGATGAGTGGTGTGTGTGGCATGGCATGGCATGGGTGGCACGTGTAACATGGCGAGTGGCTAGGTGGGATTCCTAGCGCGGAAGGGCAAAGAGGGTGAGGAGTAGAGTGATAGAGCGGAGCAAGGGGCGGGCTCCTGGAACCCTCATCCAAGGGGAACGATGAACCTGCTCAGACACGGACAGAACAAAAAACGCGAGCAGGCCGAGACGGGGCGAGGCAGGGCGAGGCGGGGAGGCGGAGCGTTTGGGGGCGAGGAGTGGCAAGTAGGGGCAAAGGGGAAGAAGCGGGGGGGTTAGGGGGCGTGCGCGTACGAGGAAGACGTCAGCGCCGTGCTTGACGAGGCGCAGCTGCCCCGCGATCTTGCGACTGGACGACGCGGACGGGTGCACCGCCACGTTGCCCTTCACGAACAGCACCTCGCGCACCACCCCCGCCACCCCCGCCCCCCCCGCCTTCTCCTGCGCGGCTCCCCCGCCCGCCCCCTCCTGCGCCTGGTTTCCCCCGTCGCTCCCCTCCATCCTCCTGCTCCCACCGTTCTCGCGCGCGCCTGGCTTGCCCCGCAGCTCGCGCGGCGGCGCATCCGGCTTGCTGCTGCCGCCGCCATCGCTCCCCTCCGCCGGAGGGGGCTGCGCGGGCGGGGGTCGGCGCAGAGGGGGAGTGGTGGTGGAGCGGATGTAGCGCGCGTTGCCGCTCGGCACGGATGCCGACGACGGCAGCGACGGGCCCTGTGCGACCGACTGTGCACTCGCAGGAACCTGCAGAGGACACACGAAAAACGTCGGGATACACGGTGTGAGTGCGCGCTCAGTTTGATTGGAAAGAGGACTTTGAGACGAAGGACGAACACAAGGGAACAAATAAGCGCGATTAGATTGTGTGAGCGGTGCATTCTGACATGGCGGAGGCGTGGGTACACGAAGACGAGCCTCGCGCTGCTTGTGTACAATCAGAACGAGAGCGCATGTTGGCGGTCGAAGGTGTTGACAGCGCACACTCCGACGAACAGCAAACGGCATGACCGGCGACAAGTAGCACGGCCTCGCAACCTGTCTGACCTCGCGAAATTGACTGCGAAGCGACGAGTGACCCCTGGGCGGCGGAGGTACGTCTTCAGTGTTGGGCTCCACGCACACGCTCCTATCGCGAGCCATGCTCTCGCTCGCTCTCACTCCCACTACGTGATTCACAAATTAAAAGTACTGTTAACGCTATCTGCTGTGTCTCGAATTATCGTGCTATCACAAGCAAGGCCAACAGAGGCAGCAGGTGGTGTGGTGTTGTTGCTTTGACTGGCTAATCTCGCAACAGCAAATTTGCCTTGGGAATGTACTGCAGGTAGGAGAGGGTAGGATGAGTGGGCACGGCATTCCTGCGGCGGGGGGTCTGACTGATGACGGGGGTCGCTGAGTCGCTGGCCTGTGGCACGCGACGGATATGTCAGACAGGCGAGCGTGACGATAGCATTACGACGAGGAATTGCATGGGATGGGGAATGCGATGCGACGGAAATGCGATAGTTTGGGGAATCCGATGAGTGATGGATGGGATCACGCGGATGAATGCCGCCGCTGACGCGCAGCTCCGCACTTTCCCCGTCGCTCGGCAGGAATGCGGTGTGGTGCGTGCGGAACACGCTTGCGAGTCCACGATATCGGTCCCCATCCCACCTCATCCTACCCCACCCCACCCCAATCCATCGCGGGCCGCTTCCCCCCTCCCCTTCCAAGAGGTTGGGTGGGATGAGGGAGGTGAGGGGGCCTCAGGTCTCGCGAAAGGTTGGAAGCTTTACGGCACGGTGAGCCATGGATGTGTGTGAGTCAAGATGGTGTGAGCCAGAAGTTGTTGGTTGTCAGACACGGTTGAATTTGATCGATAATACACGACCTTGTGTTCCATACAATATCAGAAAATGCAAACAACGAGGCAGCGTCAACGGCGTATAGAAACATATTGGTGAGAGCCCATCTGATCACGAGGCAATTAGAGAATAAAGAGTTCTCTATGTCGTCACATCGTTTCGTGTATGGTCAGTGTGGCACCCAGGTAGACTATAGTTAGCGTGTGCTCTCTGCTGTGGCCTTGCGCAGCATCGTGAGGTACCTGGTTGTAAAGGGGATGGAGGGGAGGGAAAAGAGGGACAGAGTCGTTTCGGTTTCAATTCAACCGTGCATTTTCATATTAAGTCAGACCGAATGGAGACACGACTGATGAGGGTTGACCACACCAAGAGATACGCAGTAGCACTGAATTGCTCAGTGCACCACTCACACACCTGATTTAACAGCATGGCATGGCCACATGTAGCAAGCAACATACCATTCGCGCAGCTTGACGGGTTGAGGCGTCTTCTGGATCTCGGGGTGGCAGTAGAGGATGTAGTCTTCTCCCTTGAGCGGAGGGCATGCCCAGATGTAGCAACTCGTGAGGCTTCTGTTATCAGTCGTGTTTCGTGTCAGTCATCTCGAATTATGTAATCGCCTTCAGGCCTCACGCCAGCTGCGGCCTCAACAGCCTCCCCGATCACCAATGGCAATTCGATTGCAGTCTTTCCGGCTTCTGTCCTCCTTGTTTCTAGTTATAACACCATCCGCGGTTACAGCCACTGCTCTCACCACTCACCAATTCAGTGACCCCTCTCCCACCTCTGCTGATCGTCATTCCACCATCGTCAGCCATTCGAACGAGCAGTACAATGGTCGTCGCAGGCTCGTGCTGCCGTCGCATCTGGCTCGCCCGCACTCCACGGACGACACGGAGCTGCCGTGCGGCGACGCCTGGCAGCACAACTACACCGCCTTCCACTCCTCCGCCCGCGCGGCCGCGCGCGATCCATCCGCGCGGGCGCAGGAGAAGGCGGAGCTGCGGTACTTGACGTTCACGTGCACGCCGGGGCTGTGCGGCGGGATCGGCGACCTGCTCATCGGGCTCGTGTCGTCGTTCCTGCTGTGCGTGCTGCAGGACCGAATCCTCATCGTCGACTACCCCTGGATGCTGCACGCCTTCGAGCCGAACCACATAGACTGGCGCCTCGGCGACGACGTCCCTATGGACCCCGCGCGCCCCTTCCCGCCGGGCCCAAGAGACAGGCGCAGGCGGGGGCAGGCGGACCCGAACGAGGTGCAGGAGGGCGAGGTGCTCCGCGTGAATCTGCACAACCGCGACCTGCCGAGCAACGTGACGGAGTTCTTCGAGCGCATGCGCGCCGCGAGGAACATACGGCTCATGTGGAACCGCGGGCTGCTGGTGCGGCTGTACGAGGAGGACGGGCCCTGGTGGCACGAGCTGCACAGACGAGGACTCAGACTGCCGTCCGCATTTGGGTGCATTCTGCGATACCTTATTATGTAGGTGCAAATGCCGTCCCATTCAGTGTCGCATGCCACGTGATCGCTTTGCACAGTGTGTGCACAGGTCATGGCTTGCTGATGAATGTCGGCACACATGCTCCTCTGCCTGACCACAAACTTGTCCACCTTACACTCCAGCAACATCCCAATGTGCGTCCACCACATTTCAGCTTCGCACCTCTATCCTGGCCCCTCTCCCACCCCATGCGTGGAACTGTAATGGTGGTGGTGGCAGGCCGACGCCAGCAGTGCGGCACATGGTGCGAGAGGGCATAGCGCGGCTGACATACCCGGGCACGGCGTCCATCTGCATCCACGTGCGCACCAGCGACATCTCCACGTGGGAGCAGCCCAAGGTGGGCGAGAAGGTGAAGTCGCGCAAGGAGAACGTCAAGCGCCTCCTCAAGGGCTCCCACCGCCTCTTTGCCTGCGCACAGGTGGGTGGCCATGGCAGTCCTCTCTTCTGCTGCCGTGCTTGGCATCATCTGTTTGTGACTGAGCATTGTATGTGGTGGCCCGTGCAGAAGCTGGAGGACTACTGGTATTCGAGTGACGCCCCAGGCATGGCAGTCAAATGGGTGCTCATGAGCTCGTCGCTTGGACTCAAGCAGGCTGCACAGAGGAAATATGGCAGTAAGGTAACATGGAAGGCTCGTGGAGAGGTGCTGGTTAACTTTGCTACTATGGCACCTCTTGACCTTTTGCCTCACTTGACCCCCCACCACCTGGGTCCTCATGCAGGTGATGACAACTGATATACAGCCCCTTCACATTGAGCTTCAAGGCTTTTCAGATGAACAAAGGGCGGAAGCTTTTCAATCCACCGTGGCAGAATGGCTGCTATTCACACACTGCAACCACTTTATCTTCACCGAGTCAGGCTTTTCCAAGACTGCTGCATTGTACTCGTTGAGAAGACTATCAGCCCACATGATGGCAAGATGGGCTGATTCATGGAGGGACCACTCGTGGAAAGATAAATGTGATCCTGAGGAGCCCACCAGGATTACGGTGCTCGGGAATACAACCCGTTGGAGTGGGATTTAGGCTGTGCATATATTAGTACTTTTGATAAGATTGTATGGTTATCCAAAATGATGATCTCTGTACATGATACATAATCGAAATTGCGACCTCTCACTGCAGGCTTCATGTTTGGTCCCACGACACCACCGTGCGATGCGATGGGACACGTCAAACTGCCCACCGTTCCAACCAACAGATAGAAAAAATAGGCAGATTGTGTTTGTGCGCCTCGGGCTTCGGGAAATGATATTTTCTATACATTACATACGCAGCTGCACAGCAATTCGGCTATGAAAAATGGAATACAGTTCGAGCGAGCGATGAATTATTGGTCTTCTTGAAAGAATCCATGATGTGGCTCCGCACGATCCCCCTGCAGGACACCCCGTGCCGTGACCCGTCCTCCGCCCTGCCACCTCACCCTCCTGGCTGGCAGGGTGAGGTGGCTGGCACCGCGCCTGTCCTCCCCCCCTTCCCCGCCTGACCGCGGGAGAGGTGGCAGGCACGCAGGCACGCGCAGGACCAACGCAATCAAGGGAGCAGCAGGGGTAATATCTAGGTCGACTGGCCTCCACTGATGCTAGTAGCGTCTGTTCCGAAGAACCTAATTTAGCCTTTGACTGCCTCCTGTGAGGTCAGCCGCCATGGCCGATGTGAGTTCAGACAGATTTTAAGTATTTCAATTGACCGCATGTTAGTGTAACGTGGCTACCGCGGCAGGCATTTGTACCGTGTTCTCACTCTGGCTCACGCAGCGCTGGTTTGTTTCTGTTGTGTGTGCATTTGTTGTTGTGGGTCGACGCCGCTGGTCAGGCTAAGAAACGGTCGCCATCATTGCGCGTGCTCGCCACACCAAGTCAAGGTACGCTGCCGGCATTACTGCCGTCCTTGCTGTCGAGGGCATTTCTTGTTTCCTAAAAGGTTTAATGGCGAGCGTTTGCGAAGCGGCTTCTATTGTGCTCCTGTCGGTTTTCACCCCTTTTTGCGGTGTGCAGACCGGTTCACCGATCTGTACGACCTCGGGCAGAAGCTGGGGTCGGGGCAGTTTGGGACGACGTACGTGTGTCGCGAGCGCTCGACGGGCAACAAGTACGCGTGCAAGTCGATTCCCAAGAGCAAGCTGCTCACGGAGAATGACGTCGAGGACGTGCGACGCGAGGTTGCCATCCTCTACCACGTGCAGGTGCGCGCTGCCTCCGCTGCGCCACGTGCAGGCGCGAACTCAAATAGTTGCGGCACGCAGCGCCGGATGCATATCTGCGCAGTCGGCGTTTCTGCGCTGCCGGCATTTCTGCGCTGTCGGCAATGCTGCGCTGTCGGCAATGCTGCGCTGTCCGCAATGCTGCGCTGTCCGCAATGCTGCGCTGTCTTCATTGCTGCGCTGTCGGCATTGCTGCGAGAGCGCTTGTGCACAGCCATGTCGCATTCGCATCCCCGCGGTTGCCCGCATGCCATCCACCGCTGACTGCGTTGCATCCTCGCCGTGGGCTGACCGGTGTGCGCGCGCGACGTGCGTGCGTGGGCGAGTGCAGGGGCAAGCGAACATCGTGAACATGAAGGGCGCGTACGAGGATCGCGACTACGTGCACATCGTGATGGAGCTGTGCACGGGCGGCGAGCTCTACGACACCATCATCGAACGCATCGAGGCGCGCGGCGTCCCCTACTCGTAAGTCCGCCTTGCACCCCGCCGCGAGCCCCTCGGCCTTCCACCTGTTCCCCAATCCCCCTCGCACGCCTCATTTCAAATGCTCGCCTCCGCGCATGCCCCCCGTTCCTCTCGACTTCCACTCTCCATTCTTCTACCTCTCCTTTCGTATCCCCCCTCCGCCCTCAACCCTCTCCCCCCATCCCTTTCTTTCCCTTTCCCCCTTTCCCCACCTGCGCCCCCCCAACTCCCCCAACCCCTCCACCGCTCGCCCCGCGCAGCGAGCACGACGCGGCGGAGATGGCGCGCGTGATAGTGCGCGTGGTGGAGCGGTGCCACTCGCTGGGCATCGTGCATCGCGACCTCAAGCCGGAGAACTTCCTGCTCTCAAGCCGCGACCCCGACACGGCGGAGCTCAAGGCGACGGACTTCGGGCTGTCGTGCTTCTACAAGGGCGAGGGCATGGCGCGCCACTGCGGGTCGCCCATGTACATGGCGCCCGAGGTCGTGCGCTGGCGCTCCGCCACGCAGCTCATGGTGAAGCGCCCCGCCAAGTACGGCCCCGAGGTGGACATCTGGAGCGCGGGGGTCATCATCTACGCGCTGCTCTGCGGCTTCCCGCCCTTCTACCACAGTACGTGCCCTTGTACCACAGTACGTGCCCTTGTACCACAGTACGTGCCCTTGTACCACAGTACGTGCCCTTGTACCACAGTACGTGCCCTTGTACCACAGTACGTGCCCTTGTACCACAGTACGTGCCCTTGTACCACAGTACGTGCCCTTGTACCACAGTACGTGCCCTTGTACCACAGTACGTGCCCTTGTACCACAGTACGTGCCCTTGTACCACAGTACGTGCCCTTGTACCAAAGTGAAATGGCCGCCCAGTGAGGTTGATGACGGAATGGCGTGACTCGTGCAATCAACTGTTGCTGTTCCTCCCTCCGCTTCTCCTCCTCCTCGCCTCTCTGCCCACCATTTACCAACTTCCCCCACATCACCACCCCCCCCTTCCCCCCATTCCTGCCCCGCCAACCCCCTTTCCTCGCCCGGCCGTGGTGCGCGCAGGCAGCCATTCGACGAAGGAGATATTCAAGGCGGTGCTGCGCGCGAACCCGTCCTTCTCCATCCCGCCGTGGCCCTCCATCTCCGACCACGCCAAGGACCTCCTGCGCCAAATGCTGCACCCCGACCCCGCCAAGCGCCCCTCCGCGCACGAAGTTCTCTGTCAGTCCCGCTCCCCACATGCTCCGCCTGCCCTTCCGCCATTCCTTCCTCCCGTTCTTCCCTCCCGTCCCCCCCCTGTGTATGCCCTATCATGAAACCCCTTCCCCCCCTCCCCCCCCCCTTCATCAGCAGCTCCCCATCCCCAGCCCACTTAACCCCCTTTCTACCCCCACCTCCTGCCCCCATGCGTGGCTGCGTGGCGCAGGCCACCCGTGGCTGGCGGAGGCGGGCGTGGCGCAGACGGAGCCGCTGCCGCCCGTGGTGCTGACGCGGCTGAAGCAGTTCACATCCATGGTGAAGATGAAGCGCATGGCCATGAAGGTAGGCTCTCGCTCTCAACGGATGGTGCAGTGCTGAAAGAGGGGGAGCGGGGAACAGTCACTCAACGCGCCAATGCAAGCAAGAGCAGTGCACAAAGTGAATGCAACAGAGAGGGAGCAAATTGTAGGGAAATGTGTGGGACAGGCAGTTTTGATGTTGCTGCCATAGCACTGACGAGCATGAAACTTGAGATGCCATGCGAGTCACTTCCATGCACCCTCCATGCCTCGTCACCCACCCCTCCCATCACCACCCATGCACGTCCCACCTTACGCTGCAGCACCTTACCCCACCTCCCCCTCTTCCCCTTGCCGTCCACTCCCCTCTACCCCCCACAACCCATGCAACACCCCCATCCCCACGGCACCTCCGTCCGCGCATGGCGGGGCGTGACGGGGAGCAGGTGATAGCGGAGGGGCTGAAGGAGGAGGAGATCCGCGGGCTGCGAGAGCTGTTTGAGGCGATGGACACGGACGGCAGCGGCACCATCACCATGACTGAGCTGCGTGATGGGCTCAAGAAGTATGGCGCCAACCTCAGCGACGCTGAGATCAGCAGAATCATGGAGGAGGTGCGATGCATGATGGCGGGGGTGCGATGCATGATGGCGGGGGTGCGATGCATGATGGCGGGGGTGCGATGCATGATGGCGGGGGTGCGATGCATGATGGCGGGGGTGCGATGCATGATGGCGGGGGTGCGATGCATGATGTCGGGGGTGCGATGCATGATGGCGGGGGTGCGATGCATGATGGGGGGGGTGCGATGCATGATGGCGGGGTTGCGATACATGATGGCGGGGGTGCGATGCATGATGTCGGGGGTGCGATGCATGATGGCGGGGGTGCGATGCATGATGGCGGGGGTGCGATGCATGATGTCGGGGTTGCCATGCATGATGGCGGGGGTGCGATGCATGATGGCGGGGGTGCGATGCATGACGGAAGGGGTGTGATGCATGATGGCGGGGGTGCGATGCATGATGGCGGGGGAGCGATGCATGATGGCGGGGGTGTGATGCATGATGGCGGGGTTGCGATGCATGATGGCGGGGGTGCGATGCATGATGGCGGGGGTGCGATGCATGACGGAAGGGGTGCGATGCATGATGGAAGGGGTGCGATGCATGATGGAAGGGGTGCGATGCATGATGGAAGGGGTGCGATGCATGATGGAGGGGGTGCGATGCATGATGGAGGGGGTGCGATGCATGATGGAGGGGGTGCGATGCATGATGGAGGGGGTGAGATGAATGATGGAGGAGGTGAGTTGAGCGGAATTGTGGAAAGTGTAAGAGGAGGAGAATGATGCAGGAGGTGAGGCGAGGTGAAGCATGGAGAACGGGGGAGTGCAGTGGCGGGTGGAAGGAGAGTGAGGGGGGGACGGGGCATGGGCAGGGCGCAGGTGGGGCACAGCAGTGTGGTGGTGCTTAGCAGACTACATTACTCATGCTATGTGGCATTCTGTTGTGCTGGCATGCTGGGTGCATGGTGGCCATGTGATGGCGTGGTGGGCATGAAATGGCATGTGATGGCGTGGTGGGCATGAAATGGCATGTGATGGCGTGGTCGGCAAGTGACTCGTATTCCATGGCATATGCTGTAATGGATGGCATGGTGGGCATATGATGGCATGGTGGGCATGTGATGGCATGGCATGTAATGGCATGGCGTGCCCCTTGCAGACGGACATAGACCAGAGTGGGGAGATTGAGTACGGGGAGTTCCTGGCGGCGACACTGAATCTGAGCAAGATAGACAAGCAGGAGAATCTGCTCAAGGCGTTTGCCTTCTTTGACACGGATGGCAGCGGCACCATCACGCTGGACGAGCTGCAGAAGGCGTGTGAGCAGCTCAAGATGTCCACGGGCGAGGTCGAGGCCATGATGCGCGAGGTCGACGAAAACAAGGTCCGTGCGCTGCTGGGAGGGCTGGGGGAGGGGGAGGAGGGAGCCAAAGGGGGGGTGGGGGATTGGGGGATTGGGGGTGTGGAGGGGGGGGGGGGGGGGGTGTGGGAGGGGTGTTGGGGGCAGGGTGGACGGCATTGTAGTGTGATTATTGTGTACAGTTTTGCAGTTTGATCGTATATGTTTTCAATCCCAAATGCTTATTGCTTTACCAATTATCCAAATTCAATGAGTGCAGGATGGGACGATTGACTACCAGGAGTTTGTGGCGATGATGAGGAAGACACAGACAGGAGGCCTCACACGCCGCGACATCATGGATGGCAACTACGGCGTCACAGATAAAGAGTTTGGAAGCGAATCTTTCCGTTTCTTGCTCAGTTGATAGCTTTGCAGACACCTGCCATTCCCTAAGCTCGGGTTCAACATAATCTAGGAATTGCGTCAGCTATTAGTTCTTGTAACTTTACTTGAATTGCCCTTAGAGCTGTCCTGTGTGCCCAAATGTTTAACCCGCAATTTGCAACCTCGTTTTAGCGCATCGCGTTTCGATGAAATGTACATCTCGAATTCCCGTACATTGTTGCCGAGGTGCCACTTCCCCACATTACTTGTCGCCACGTCGGCTAATACCGACGACGTGACAGTCCCTTGGAATTAGCCCCAAGCGCCTGGTTCCTGGGAATTGTGGGCCTGAATTCGAATTGCAGCGCCTGGGAAGATGCGCGCTCCTAGATTTCCCCATCCTCCTCGCCTTCCCCCTCCCGGCGCTCGCTCCCGCCTTGCGCCCTCGGCTCCGCCAACACAGGTGCGGCCCACACTGCGGCCACCTCTCGACCACAATTCCGAAAAACCGAACCCCTCCTCCCACTGCGTGTCAGCAGCAGCCGCAGAATATTCCTCTCAGAATTGAGTTGAATTGATCACGACAGGCGCAGCGAGTTGAGGTGAGGCATGGCGCACAGGCAGGAATAGGCTTGGAAACCGGACCACCAGGGCACTCAGAGCGGCCGTCTCCATCGCGCCATCGTCGCTGCATCGCGCCATTGCAAGCCATGGCTGCTCTGCACCCGAGCGCCGTCGTCCAGCCAAGTACGTTTAGTGTCGTGCTTCTGCCCAATACCCGTCGCTTGCGCGCAATTCTCTTTCAATATCGGTTCAATCATGTCCCAGATTCATGAATCTCGCGTGAGCGTTGAGTCACCGACATCTATGGCGTTGTGCGGCTGTAATGCGTCCCTCTCCCCCCTCTCTCCCCGCCATTGTCTCAGCGCGTCTCGCTATCGGCCACTCGTCCCACCGCACCTCCGCGCGTCGCGTCGAATGCAATCCCGCGTTCGCGCCATGCGCCAGCCACGCGCCATTCTCCGTCGTTGCGCCATCAGCCGTCAGGACCCGCCCGCTCCGCGCCAATCAGAACAGTCGACGACCACATTCGAGGCGGCTGATCGTTCGTGCGACAGAAAGCGACGAGGGCGCAATTGCACGCCGGGTGGAGGAAACGCAATGCGGGGAGGCGAGCAGCAGGGGCGCTGGTGATGGCGCAACGGGGGAAACCGCGGGCGATAGTGGCGGAAATGGTGCTCTTTCGGCGGGGACGGGTGTGAATTCCGCGGATGCGCTGGTCGCCGCGGATAGTGCGCGAGGCGAGTCAGCATCGTCGGTATCGGGGGGAGAGGCGGCGGCGTCGTCGTCCCCCGGGTGGTGGAGCGGCGTGTGGGGCGCGGGGGGCTGGCAGAAGCGGTGGAGCATCGTGGTGCTGTGCTTCTTCGCCTTCCTGCTCTGCAACATGGACCGCGTGAGTCCATGGCGGGGAAAAGAGGGGAGAGGGGAGGGGGGGGGGATGCAACATGGACCGCGTGAGTTATGGGGAGGGAATGCAGCATGCAGTGGTGGAGTGATGAGAGGGAATGGAAGTGCAGCATGCATGGCAGGACGTGGCACAGGAACGATGGATGAGACTCTGCCGGCCTAGTGGCCGTGCCGCCATGCGCACATGCCCGTGCTGCTGCACCTCGCATACCGCTCATGCGCGTCCCAATGTATATGTGGAGGCATTAGCAAACTGTCCCCCCCTTGCTGAACCGCTCTCCCGCTCCTCCGTTGGGGCTGGTGTGGCGCGCAGGTGAACATGAGCATAGCGGTGCTGCCCATGGCGGAGCAGTTCCAGTGGACGCCCGCCACCGTGGGACTCGTGCAGTCCTCCTTCTTCTGGGGCTACCTCCTCACTCAGGTACCGCTGCCTCCTCACTCAGATGGGGCTGCCTCCTCACTCAGGTGGGGCTGCCTCCTCACTCAGATGGGGCTGCCTCCTCACTCAGGTGGGGCTGCCTCCTCACTCAGATGGGGCTGCCTCCTCACTCAGGTGGGGCTGCCTCCTCACTCAGGTGGGGCTGCCTCCTCACTCAGGTGGGGCTGCCTCCTCACTCAGGTGGGGCTGCCTCCTCACTCAGGTGGGGCTGCCTCCTCACTCAGGTGGGGCTGCCTCCTCACTCAGGTGGGGCTGCCTCCTCACTCAGGTAGGGCTGCCTCCTCACTCAGGTGGGGCTGCCTCCTCACTCAGGTGGGGCTGCCTCCTCACTCAGGTGGGGCTGCCTCCTCACTCAGGTGGGGCTGCCTCCTCACTCAGGTGGGGCTGCCTCCTCACTCAGGTGGGGCTGCCTCCTCACTCAGGTACCGCTACCTCCTCACAGGCAGGTACGCTGCCTCTCGCCCTACCCTCCTCACGCACGCATGTGCCCCTCACGCAGGTACCTCACTCGTGTGTGTGTGCTGCTCTCACCACTCACTCACACACTGCCGTGCTCATATCTCAACACTTGTTTTGCTCACCCAGTTGCTGTGCCGCTATGCCCTGTCACCACTCTCTACGCTCTTCCTCCCCTCCCCCTCCCATCCCTCTTTCACCCCATTCCCTTCTCCCTCTCTCACCCCCCTCCCCTCCCGCGCGCACGCCCTTCCCCCTCGAGCATGGCAGGTGGCGGGGGGAGTGTGGGCGGACACGATAGGCGGCAAGCAGGTGCTGGGATTCGGAGTGGTGTGGTGGTCGCTCGCCACTGTGCTCACACCGTTCGCCGCCTCCCTCGGCCTGCCCGCGCTGCTCTTTGCACGCGCCTGCATGGGCGTTGGGGAGGTCAGCCTCCCTCCCTCCCTTCCCCCCCTCCTCGCTGCCCACCGTCCCTTCCCCTCGCCTCTGCCGCTGCTCACTCCGCTGCTCACTCCAATGCCCCGCCCTGCTTCCCTCTGCCCACCTGCTTGTCTCTCACCCTCCACGTCTGCCCGCTTGTTTGGCCTCGCTTCTATCTCCCGCCCCCCCCTGTCTCAAACGTCCCCCTCTCCCTCCCCCACCCCCCCCTTAGCCTTTCCCCCCATCCGCCCACCCCACCGTCCCACCAGGGAGTGGCGATGCCAGCGATGAACAATCTGCTGTCCAAGTGGGTGCCCGTGGGCGAGCGCAGTCGCTCCCTGGCGCTGGTCTACAGCGGCATGTACCTGGGCAGCGTGGCGGGGCTGTCGCTGTCGCCCGCCATCATCCACGCCTTCGCCTGGCCCTCCGTCTTCTTCTCCTTTGGCTCCCTCGGCCTCGTCTGGTTCGCCTTCTGGCAGACCAAGGTGCACCCTGCACTGCATGCCCTGCTCCATGCACTGTACAAATCGCGGTACAAAAACGAACAAACAAACAAACAATCAAACAACCAAAAAAGACCCAAATTTCTCCACCTAGCCCTTCGCTGGCCCCTCCACTGCAGGCTAACCACCAGCTCCCCCACCCCCACCCCCACCCCCTCCCCCTCCCCCTCCCCCTCTCCCTCCCCCTCAGGCGTTCAGCTCGCCTGCGGAGGACCCGAGTGTGACGGCGGCAGAGAGGGCGCTCATAGCAGCCGGGGGCGCACAGAAGGGGCAGGGGGCGGGCAAGGCGCAGGGGGGAGAGGAAGGGGCGCACCTGGAGGGCAGTGAGCCGCTGCGGCTGTCGACTATCCCGTGGAAGCTGCTGCTGAGCAAGGCGCCTGTGTGGGCCATCATCATCTGCCACTTCTGCCACAACTGGGGCGTCTTCATCCTCCTCACCTGGATGCCCACCTACTACCATGATGTGAGGCATAGGCATGCCCACCTGCTACCATGATGTGAGGCATAGGCATGCATACCTGCTACCATGATGTGAGGCATAGGCATGCCCACCTGCTACCATGATGTGAGGCATAGGCATGCCCACCTACTACCATGATGTGAGGCATAGGCATGCCCACGTACTACCATGATGTGAGGCATAGGCATGCCCACCTACTACCATGATGTGAGCCGTGCCATGCCCACCCACCACCACGTTGTGAGTTGTGGCACAGCACTCCCACCCACCCAGGAACCTGTCACCCCGGCTACCAGCCCTTCTAATCCCTTCATGTCACTATCCCCACTGCCTGGCATGCACGCGGCACACGGGGGCACACGGGGGTGCATGGCGGCGGGGGGGCGTGCATGGGTGGGCGTGTGGGCGGGGGCAGGTGTTGGGGTTCAACCTGACGGAGTCGGGGCTGTTTGCAGTGCTGCCGTGGCTCACCATGGCCATCGCCTCCAACGTCGGTGGATGGATCGCCGACACCCTCATTGCCAAGGGCCTCTCCGTCACCCTCGTGCGCAAGGTGGGCCTCTGCCCCCCTCCCTCGTTCACTCCCCGCTTTCTCCCTGCTTCATCGCTTCTCAGGCTCCGCCATTCCCTTGCCCACATGCTTCTTCACTAAACCTGCTCCTCTCCTGTCCTTTCTACCTCATCCGCTGGCTGCTGCCCTACCCCCCGCCCTACCCCCCGCCCCGCCCTTCTTACCACAGGTGATGCAGAGCATTGGCTTCCTGGGTCCGGCCATCTGCCTCTCACTGCTCTCCACTGTCAAGTCACCCGTTGCTGCCATCGCCCTGCTCATGGTCTCCCAGGTACCACCCCCCACCCCTCCACCCCTCCACACGCCTCTACCTGCCACTGCCTGTCTCTGTAGCTCAGCCTCTTTCCCTTCTTGCATCTGTGCATGCGCTTAGTCCCTCATTCACCCATGCCCCATGCCCCATGCACCTGCCCCCCACAGGGCACGGACGCGTTTTCCCAGTCGGGGCTCTACTCCAACCATCAGGACATCGGCCCGCGCTATGCGGTCAGTGCCTCAGTGCCTCCACTGCCACGCGCTCGCTGTCTGCCTCTGTGCCGCTCTTGCACCTGCCATTCTCACTTCCCTCGTACCTCACCCACCCCGTTCTTCCCCTCTTTCTGCGCCCGCATTACTTGCCTCACCACCCCTTTCTCTCATCCCTGCCTGCTCGCCGTGCCTCAGGGCATTCTGCTGGGTCTGTCCAACAGCGCTGGTGTGCTGGCGGGGGTCTTCGGCACCTATGTCACGGGGCAGATCCTGCAGAACGGTATGTCACCGACTCCAAGTGATCCCTCCCTCAAACAGCCTTGGGAGCTCCAAGCCCCTGCCACACTGCCTCCCCCATACAGCCTTCTCAAGATCACCACCTTCCCATCCCCTCTCACCTCGTGTGCTGTGTGGTGGCAGGGTCATGGGACGAGGTGTTCACGGTGGCGGTGGGGCTGTACCTGGTGGGCACTGTTGTGTGGAATGTGTTCGCCACGGGGGAGCGGGTCTTTGACTGACCCCCTGATGCCTCCTCGCCTCCTCTGCTTGCCTGTGCAAGCTTGGGGTAGTATGCAATCTAAATCACATTGTTTCAGAGCTACAACAATTCATTGGATCCCTCTGACGAATGTTCACTTCTATCGTAGTTTTACAATTCCAGGCCATAGAACTAGGGCATGTTCCTACAGCCCCTTATCAGGCCAACCTCTTATCAGGCTCGCGTCACAACACACTGAAATTCCCCTACAGCCAAAACCCTTCTCGCATTGTATCAGGCAAGCTTGACAAGAGGTTTGCCTGATAAGAGCGTAGGAACATGCCCTTAGAATATGGTATGTCCGGTAGGTTAAAACATATAAAGCGTGCATAGCTAGCAGCTGGAGGAGGCACCGTCACATTTCATTTGTCACTGTGAGTTTATGTGTACTTGCAAATTGAGCATATTCACCAAATGCAGCCACAATTTGGGATAGTCACAAGTAGTGATTCCAGGTGCAGGTGGGCATCAATGTTACGGTAGCGCAAGTGAAGCTCCCCCACTAGGGCGAGAGAGCACATGTAACTCAGAGCACCAGGGATGCCGCAGTCACTACAGCAGCCATGAGAACGGTGGCAGAAGACAGGCAGTATTGACCTGCCACACACAGCAAGCATCAGAAACAGTGAGAGAGCGAATAAAAGAGAGTGCGCCACGTCAGACGCCACATGCAGAGACAGCATCCTCCCAGTCCCAGCCCCCCCTCTCACCTGAACCCGCGCTGCCAGGAGTGTCGTTGCTCCCCGGCACTCGCACGGGGGCGGGAGGAGCAGTTGTGCCCTCCTCGCTCCCAGGAGGCGGAGGGCTGTTGTCGCTGCCAGGAGGAGCAGCACTCGGAGTCGGCGCCGAGCCAATCATTGGTTCTGAGGCAGGTGCAGAGGCTGGGGCCGACCCTGGCGCGACAGCAGGTTCGGATGCTGGCGCTGGGGCAGGGGCGGGACCAGAGGGGCTGGGAGCAGCGGCAGGGACAGGAGCAGGAGCCGAGGCGGAGGAGGGGGCATGCGTGGGGGCGACAGAAGGCGCTGGTGCTGGGGAGACGGAGGAACTGGGCGCGGCAGAGGGAGTCGGCGCGAGTGTGGGCGCGGACGCAGGGGCAGTGGCGGTGGGTGCCGGAGCCGGGGAAGGGACTGGCGCGGACGGCTGTTGCGATAAACAAGGTGGCGCGGCCAGAGCGAGCAGGAGCACAAGGAAGACGGCGGAGAGTGCGGAACCCATCTCGGCTCAGTGGGGCGACGAGGAGGTGAGACTCAGGAGTTGCGCTGAGTATGAATACCGCTGAATGATGGCGTGGGAAGGCACGGATTTAAGCCACGCCGTTAACCCTTGTCTAGGTCGCGCCGATCCCTTTGGCCCGGTAGCACCACGCTCACCGTCAACCTCATTTTCGCTACAAGTCACATTGTGGCGGCGGTCACATCTTCTGATGCTGACTGCTGAGGCCGAATCGCCCCCGTATGACTCCTCGTCGACCATTTCAAGCGACGTCGCAACGACTTGAAAGTGCAGGACAGGAGACCCGCAGAAGAAATGCATGCCGTCAGCTAGGCGTATAGCGTGTCCTGAGTCAAAAGAAATCTGTGACGTGATGTGGGACCTGTAAAAGAAATGCACGCAGTCAAGACCGACGGGAGGATCGAGGAGCAGAGAGGGTGGTACTGGAGCAAAGCGGTGGAGGAAGGACAGGACAGGTCGCAGGAGGACAGGGCTCCAGCCTGCAACATTCCCAGCTGCACTGGACACGGGTGACGTGACGGGGTCTTCACGAGTTTCCCCACAAGGAAGCGCGTTCGTACCATATCATTGCTGCTCTCTGTGTCTACACCCATGCTTGAAGGGCAAAGTAGGCTGTATGAGGACACTGGCATTTCATGATTACCCCTTCAGAAAGGTATTTTTTCAATAACGTTGCATGATGAGGCAACCATTATCGTAAATGATATCCGGGCTTTTCAATTATCATAACATCATTCAGTACAATAGCTGGTAAACTTCAGTACAACACAAGCATGTTCAAATCGTAATCGTATATCAATATCATGTTACACCTTCTGCACATATAGCACAAACACCTTTGAAGTCAACTGAGTGAGTATGTGATGTGAGCCTTCTGCAGCAACACACTGCAATGCCGTGTCAATGGGCGTGTGTGACACAAGAACAGCATCTTCACCTGTCTGCACAGAACTGCACCTCCCCAAACCTTTGTACCCCTGCAATTTCACAAAGCACCCTTGCCCTTCATCAGCCATGCAACAGCAGGCATCTCTTCGGGCAGCTGCCGTGCAGTGGCGTGTGGGCATCAGCACATGTGTGCATTCACGCGAGCACGGTACATCTCCAGCACCTCCTCATTCTGTGCCCCGTCCGTCTCCACCACAGCGGACGCCAGCAGCTTGTTGCTACCCGCGGGCACAAAGAAGATGTCCCCCACGTGCACACCCTGCACGTATGACGGCGCCGCAGCCACCGCTGCCGCGCACCCATGCACCTTGGTCAGCCCGTTGGCCGGGGCCACCGAGATGGCTCCAGATCCGCGGAACACCAGCAGAATGGACGGCCCAGATATCTCTGGCAGGGCTGCTGTCTGCCCGAGGGGCACTGTGATCTTTTCGACCTCAAACTCCTCGAAGGGCGGAGTGTAGAGAGTGACGTGCGGGGTGACGCGGTCACCGTTGAGCAGCTGGGGGCGGCCCTGGTTGTAGGTGAGCATGGAGGTGAGCGTGTCCGTGTCGCGGTACTTGGGTGTGAGGCCCGCTCGCACCACGTTGTCAGACGCCGCCATGCACTCGATGCACTCGCCCGCCAGGTACGCGTGCGGCTCGTTGGCCGCCAAGCAGATGGCCTGGCCGGGCAGCAGAGTGACGTGGTTGAGGAAGAAGGCGGAGAGCACGCCCACGTCGCCCGGGTACTGCTGCTCCAGCCGCTGCACCAGCTGCTCCTTGTCCGACAGCTCGCGCTCCTGCATGCACCCATGGGCGGCCACAAAGGTCAGCCACATACATGGTTAGTGCTTGGTGCATGCGCGGTTGGTGGGACAGGTGGAGTGCATGCTGCATGGCACTGGGACCAGTGATCAAACAGGAGATGTCATTCCTAGTCGCATGACATGGCATGACATGGCATGGATTACAAGCAAAGGTCATATGCGAATCCTGGATGCAGCGGTGACCATGGAGGCATGACATAGACACTCTAGGGTCGATGATTGCTGTCGATGATGTGACATGGCATGGATCACAAGCAAAGGGCACATGCGAATCCAAGAACTTTCCGACTACACACCCTCCCTGTTGATACAACCACGTCATGACGCCATCGCGCAGTCGCGCCAAAGCACGCACCTTGGATTCGGCCTGCAGCCGCGCCACGAGGCTCGAGAGGTGCTTCTCAATCACGGCGCCGTCTTGCGTCATCAGCGCTCTGAACGCGTCCTTGAACGCCCTTCGCTCCGCACACTCCTGCGCTTCATGAGCTCCGTTGACGCCGTTGACTCCATTCTTGCTGGCTCTCAGCACGCTGTCCGCCGTGTGTTCGCCGATGGCCATGCGCAGTTCCGGCACTGACTGAATGCTTTCGCGGAGTTCCTGCGACACACAACAGGGAGGCCGTTATCGATTAGGCCAGGCTATAAGAGGGAAGACACATGTCGTCGCGAAACAAAGTGCTGCACAGCGCCATTGGCTGCACAAAGAAACCTCGCATACCAGCCACGCGCGCTCGCATGCTTACCACGCGCACCGACCTCGCATAAGCCACGCGCATCGACCTGACATACTAGCCAAGCCACGCGCATCGACCTGACATACTAGCCAAGCCACGCGCATCGACCTGACATACTAGCCAAGCCACGCGCATCGACCTGACATACTAGCCAAGCCACGCGCAACGACCTGACATACTAGCCAAGCCACGCGCAACGACCTGACATACTAGCCAAGCCACGCGCAACGACCTGACATACTAGCCAAGCCACGCGCATCGACCTGACATACTAGCCAAGCCACGCGCATCGACCTGACATACTAGCCAAGCCACGCGCATCGACCTTACATACTAGCCAAGCCACGCGCATAGACCTTACATACTAGCCAAGCCACGCGCATAGACCTTACATACTAGCCAAGCCACGCGCATTGACCTTACATACTAGCCACGCGCATCGACCTTACATACTAGCCACGCGCATCGACCTTACATACTAGCCACGCGCATCGACCTCGCATACTAGCCACGCGCATCGACCTCGCATACTAGCCACGCGCAACGGCCTCGCATACTAGCCACGCGCAACGGCCTCGCATACTAGCCACGCGCACCGGCCTTGCATACTAGCCACGCTCACCGACCTCGCGACCCACTTCTCATATTGACCCAAGAGCCCTTCCTCTCTATCCTTCCCGCGCACCCTTCCCGCGCACCCTTCCGCGACCCTCACCCGCGAGGTGACGAAGCCGCAGAGCGCCTCGAAGTTGGTGACGGCGAGCGCCATCTCGGGCTTGTGGTTGGCGTCCTTGTAGTTCTTCGGCTGCGTCGCGTGCAGCCGCTCCGCCAGCCGCTTGTCTGGGTGCGCCTGGATCGACAGTGCCTTCGCCACGCTCAGTACCTGCCGGGAAAGCACGATGACACGTCAGCATGCACACTGTTGCTGTAGCGTACTACGGTGAGGCATACTGAGTACTGATTGATAAGCAAGCGATATGTTTCTCAAAGAAGGTTACCTAACGCGTAATATTGCGGCAACATATTAAGGAAGAGGCGGAAAGATAGAATGGCAGCCGCCAGCTTCCACAAGACAATTTTAGGGTTTCAACGATCACATCCTGAGTATTTATAGTAAGGCAGAAACCCGATCCACACATCATGTAGCAACGTACCTTGAAGAGGAATGGAAGCTGGCCGGGCCACTTGTGCTGCACCGTGGCGCCCAGAGCCTCGGGGTGCGCGTCGAGCCACTCCTGCAACAGCTGCGGCTCGCCCGCTGCGACGTCGGCCTTGACGAGAGCGGGGCACGAGGCGTCGACCTCATCCGATTGCGCGGACGGCAGCACAAGCGACGGCCCGCTGGGGTGCGTGCCCATCCAGAGCTCGGCGTACGGCACGTCGTCCTTAGCCGCCTCCGCGCTGCCGCTCGTGCCCAGCGCGTAAAGACGACCAACCGTGCTCCCACTGCCCTTGATGCCCCAATCATACGTCTGCGCCACGCAGCGCATTCGAAGAATCGGCGGGTAGCTGCCAGCCATTGCCTTGGTAGTCGATCTGGTTGAGGATTACGAAGTATGTGCTAGGGAAGACAGGAGCAACTGAACTCCAAAGCCAAAATATAGAGCCTGACAAGACGGATAAACGGTGTGACAATATGTACAAAGGTACAAGGTTTGCCTCACGACAATCCCAAAAACGCCTAAAACAATGTGGAAGCTCAAGAAAGACTGAACCTAGGATCCATCAAATAGTCCTGGGAGTTACTGAAGCCAGACTGGAAGCGGGGATCGCGCGCGCCAAGGTTGGGGGAGGGAGTGAAGAGGAGTGGGGGAGAACTTCACTGCTACCGCAGAGGGTTGGACGGAGTTCATGAGTGCGGGAGACGGGGAGACGGGGAGTGCGCGGAGGGGAACAGCGCCCAACGGGACAGAAGCGTGGGCAGGAGGGGATGTCGTTTCGCACCACAAAGTGGTGTGCGCATCTGCGGGCAGTCGCATGCATCTCAGGTGGGGAGGATCTCGAAGGGTCAACGACACGACCACACAGAGGTCTGGGAAGCCGTGGCGAAGAGCATGCTTGGAAAATACTGGCCATTTGCGGCATCCCACGTGGAATAAGTCACTGTCTGTGCCTGCGGAGCGGTGGTCAGTGGAGAGAACGGTAGGACCTGGCACCTGCGGCTCGGAAACTCCCACACAGTTCTCGTGGGAACATCTGGAGTTGCAGACGCCCACCAACTCCGAAAACGTTGGCGCGGAAGGCGTTTATCCGTTGGAAGCAAGAAACTTACACACATAACACACTACACTTCTTCACTAGGTATACAATAGGTATAATTCACAAAGTCAACATTATTGCACATACCTCCCTTGATGCATAGTTGGATAATAAAAAACTAGGGGCACTTCATAGTTGAAAGCACAAAAAAGGTTTGACATACGTTGTCTTTTATTTCTAGGACCAACTTCAGAGCTAGAACTAGGGGCACTTCATAGTTGAAAGCACAATCTATTGGAGCTTGTTGAAGAGCATTTCCACCCATGCATCTGTAACCCCTCCTTCACACCAATGAAGGCAGTCGTTCTTCTTTGTCTTTGGTGCTCCCCCTGTATCAAAACCGGGAGATTAGATTGGTCACAAAGTGTGTCCCACAAAAATTCTTGTACCAGTTATAGGACATCAAACCAGCATTGTGTTCATAATCATCTTGCCAATCCAGAGACATTTTGCTGTTGAAGTTAAGCTCACCTTTGACGCTCCAGTTTTGGATGTGTCCATCGGGCCGCCAGTCGCTCATGGGCTTCACATCCACGTACACCACCGACGACCCCCCGAGAACACGCTGCTGGATGGCCCGCACATCACTAGAGGAGCCGTCTCCACTGCGCACGGTGGCTGTCTGAGGAGGCAGGTTGGTACGGAGGCAAGGGGCGGGACGTTAGGAATGGAGGTCTGACACGGAGCCCCTTCATTGTAGCAAAAAGGTGGTTGTCATACCTCTCCTCTTCCCTCTTCTTTGGTGTTCTCTCCCACAGGTGCTCCCCCCTCCCCTGCACTTCCACCTCGCTCTCTCCCCTCCCACTGTGCTTCTCCCTCCCGCCCGCGCTTCCCCCTCCCACCCGCGCTTCACCCTCCCACCCGTGCTTCCCCCTCCCACCCGCGCTTCCCCTTCCCATCCGCGCTTCCCCTTCCCATCCGTACTTCCCCCTCCCACCCGCGCTTCCCTTTCCCACCCGCGCTTCCCCCTCCCACCCGCACTTCCCCTTCCCATCCGTACTTTCCCCCTCCCACCCGCACTTTCCCTTCCCACCCGCGCTTCTCCCTCGCATCTGCTCTCCCCCCTCCCACCTGCGCTCCCCTTCCAACCTGCGTTCACGTACCTGCGCGCTGGTGAGCATGGAGTTGACTTTGCACGACCCCTTCTTGACGCCCGCCACGGGCAAGTCGTAGTGCGACGGCGACACGCCCATCACCACGGCGCGCCCCTTGAACCCGCCGCCGCTGCCCGCCACGTAGTCCCGCAGCGTCGTCAGTCCGCGCTCGTACGCCGCCGTCGCCTTCATCGTCGCCTCCTTGCCGCCCACGAACCATCGGTTGATGGGCGGCATCCACCACGCCGTCGCCTGCGCCACACACCACGGAGGGCGATGCGCCGGGAGGAGAGAAATGGACTATGGAAACCCGAAGTGGGCTCGCCGTAACCTCTCATTCCTACGCTGCTCTGTGCCAAGCGGAGCTTGCGGGATGACGCGACGGCAGGCGCGGATGCGAGGAAAGGCGCGGATGCGAGGCAGGGCGAAGATGCAAGGAAAGGAGTAGATGCGAGGCAGTCCCAAGATGCGACGAAAGGCGCGGATGCGAGGCAGGGCGAAGATGCAAGGAAAGGAGTAGATGCGAGGCAGTGCCAAGATGCGACGAAAGGCGCGGATGCGAGGCAGGGCGAAGATGCGAGGAAAGAGCGGATGCGAGGCAGGTCGAAGGTGCGAGGAAAGGGGCGGTTACGAGGCAGGGCGAAGATGCGAGGAAAGGAGCGGATGCGAGGCAGGGCGCGGAAGCAAGGCAGGGCGCGGATGCGAGGGTGCGCGCGAAAGCGAGTCGGAGCGCAAGCTGACCTGGAAGATGACGATGTCAGCGATGGGCAGCAAGTCCTTGATGCGTTGATCCAGGCCGTCCAGGTCGATGCGGTGCTGCTCGATGCCGTTCTTGTCGGGCAGGCTGGTGGCGTTGTTGAGCCAGTTGGAGAACACGGACACGAACCGGATCTTGTACGTCGGGAACTGCGCACTCACGCCGGGCCGCACGCCGCACCACATAGAGAGTGAGATGGCGGACGGATGCCGGGCTAAGATGGTTAGGTGACGGGTGATGCAACGCAACGTGGGAGATGCAACGCAACGTGGGGCGCATGCATATGCGTTGTGTTTTAGGGGTACGGCGCCTCAACGTCTGCCGCACGTACCTCGACGCCCCATTCGGCGGTTTTCTTCTGCGCCAGGCGGTACGACCTAGCGGCGGTAGAGTCGGCGGCGTGCAGCATGCACTGCAGCGACGCGGCGAAGTTCTTGGAGAGCGAGTCGCCGAACACCAGCACCAGCTTGCCGCGAAACATCTCCGCTAAACTCTGCGGCGACACGCGCTTCACAGAGCATCCCCTGGGCTGTAGGGGGGGCAAGGAAGCACATCGGGTGGGCGAGTAGAGCGAGCACGAGCGTGCACGGAGTGGTGAGGAATACCAAGATCGATACACTCACTGGTCGACGGACGCACCTGCCAGCGGAACTTCTGGAACGACATGTCCGGGCGGCCCTGCTTGAGGCAGTTCTGCGATGTGCGGATGTATGGGCACGAGTTGCCTGTGTAGAGCGGTAACTTGCTGTCCGCTACCCACTTGCCCCGCGAGATGTCGCAACTCCATGATGACTGCGCCGCGCACTTCAAGAGGCAGGTTATAAAGACTACCACGAAAATTGGGGAATCGAATCTATATCTCTCTCCCATCACGTTGGCTTCGTTAGGGGTTCCCGCCCTGTTCACTAGTAGCGTGATTCACGAGCTCTGGAGTCCAGCTTCTCAATTCCTGTTCCCAACCCTCTTCTGCATTTCATCTGTCACAGCCTCACCTCATTTACACCATTTGACGAACCGCATGTGATGGCGGCCCGAGCTTTCTCGTGGTCATGGAGTGCCCACCGTCACAACACAATGTATGCACGGACTGGTTCCAGTCAGCAGCGCAAATCGGCGGGAGGCAAAAGTTCCAGCGTTCCCGCGCAAACGGCAAACTGAGAACGGTGCGCCCAAGAACATCTTGGAGCAGCACACAACAAGCTAAAAAACCACTCACTAGACTTATCAAGTATAAAGATGTATGAGAATTTAGATAAAGAACAAAATCGCCTAAGCCAGAAGAAGAAAGGATAAAAATCCAATAATGAGCAGGACCACACTCACTATGGACACCTGCAAAGGCTTAAAATGAATGTTTAAAATGTGTCATGAAAAGCTGTAAGCATATGGAAGACAAACGTTCTTCGAGCATGAATCACGATGCACCGATAACATGCCAAAGTTGAATCGAAAATGATAAGAATCACGGCGCTGCCCCATGTCGCTTCACATAGAAGCCCCATGCCCATTCCTGCCAGTAGTAGTACGGGGGTGGGAGAAAGGGGGAAAGAGAGGGGTGGAGTGAGGGGGGTGGACTGAGGGCAATGGAGCGGGAGGTGGGCGGCAGTGCATGGCTGCTTTTGAGACGTCTAAAAATAACACCTTTATCACGGAGGAAGTGGACTGAGGGCCATAGAGGGAGGAGGTGGCCAGCCATGTGTGTGCTGCTGCGCTGTCACGTGCTGGTGCCGCTTCAACCCTCCCACGCCCTTGCTGGCTTGGCAATAGGCCCGGACAAGCGCAGCCACGTGACCCGACGGAATAAAAACGCCCGGAACGAGCGTTTTCAGCCCCAAAACGCGGAAGGATCCGCACATGTGCAGTAAGTGCAGCGGGCACTCTTCATTCGGGAGCGCCGATGACCGATGATGCTCACAACCCTCCCGCGCCCTTGCTGGCTGGGTAATAGGCCCAGACAAGCGCAGCCACGTGATACAGTGGCAGAAAAACGTTCAAAACGAGCGCTTCCACCCCAAAAACGCGGAAGGATCCGCACATGTGCAGGAAATGCAGCGGTCGCTCTTCATTCGTGAGCGCCGATGACCGATGATGCTCGCAACCCTCCCACGCCCTTGCTAGCTTGGTTATAGGCCCAGACAAGCGCAGCCACGTGACCCGGCGGAAGAAAAACGCTCGGAACGAGCGCTTCCAGCCCCAAAACGCAGAAGGATCCGCACATGTGCAGTAAGTGCAGCGGACGCTCTTCATTCGCGAGCGCCGATGACCGATGATGCTTGCAACCCTCCCACGCCCTTGCTGGCTTGGTAACAGGACCAGACAAGCGCAACCGCATGATCCGACGGAAGAAAAACGCTCGTAGCGAGCGCTTCCACCCCCAAAACGCGGAAGGATCCGCACATGTGCAGGAAGTGCAGTGGGCGCTCTTCGTTCGCGAGCGCCGATGATCGATGACGCTTGCAACCCTCCCACGCCTTTGCTGGCTTGGTAATAGGACCAGACAAACGCAGCCACGTGACCCGGCGGAAGAAAAACGCTCGGAACGAGCGCTTCCACCCCCAAAACGCGGAAGGATCCGCACATGTGCAGGAAGTGCAGCGGACGCTCTTCATTCGCGATCGCCGATGACCGATGATGCTCGCAACCCTCCCGCGCCCTTGCTTTGCTTGGTAATAGGACCAGACAAGCGCAGCTACGTGACCCGGTGGAAGAAAAACGCTCGGAACGAGCGCTTCCACCCCCAAAACGCGGAAGGATCCGCACATGTGCAGGAAGTGCAGCGGGCGCTCTTCATTCGCGAGCGCCGATGACCGATGATGCTTGCACCACTCCCACGCCCTTGCTCGCTTGGTAATAGGACCAGACAAGAGCGGCCACGTGACCCGGCGGAAGAAAAACGCTCGGAATCGCGGAAGGATCCGCAAATGTGCAGCAAGTGCAGCGGGCGCTCTTCATTCGCGAGCGCCGATGACAGATGATGCTTTCAACGCTCCCACGCCCTTGCTGGCTTGGTAATAGGACCAGACAAGCGCAGCCACGTGACCCGGCGGAAGAAAAACGCTCGGAATCGCGGAAGGATCCGCAAATGTGCAGCAAGTGCAGCGGGCGCTCTTCATTCGCGAGCGCCGATGACAGATGATGCTTTCAACGCCCCCACGCCCTTGCTGGCTTGGTAATAGGACCAGACAAGCGCAGCCACGTGACCCGGCGGAAGAAAAACGCTCGGAACGAGCGCTTCCACCCCAAAACGCGGAAGGATCCGCACATGTGCAGGAAGTGCAGCGGGCGCTCTTCGTTCGCGAGCGCCGATGACCGATGATGCTCGCAACCCTCCCACGCCCTTGCTGGCTTGGTAATAGGACCAGACAAGCGCAGCCACGTGACCCGGCGGAAGAAAAACGCTCGAGACGAGCGCTTCCACCCCCAAAACGCGGAAGGATCCGCACATGTGCAGGAAGTGTCGCGGGCGCTCTTCGTTCGCGAGCGCCGATGACCGATGATGCTCGCAAACCTCCCGCGCCCTTGCTGGCTTGGTAATAGGACCAGACAAGCGCAGCCACGTGACCCGGCGGAAGAAAAACGCTCGGAACGAGCGCTTCCACCCCCAAAACGCGGAAGGATCCGCACATGTGCAGGAAGTGTCGCGGGCGCTCTTCGTTCGCGAGCGCCGATGACCGATGATGCTTGCACCCCTCCCACGCCCTTGCTGGCTTGGTAATTGGACCAGACAAGCGCAGCCACGTGACGCGGCAGAAGAAAAACGCTCGGAACGAGCGCTTCCACCCCCAAAACGCGGAAGGATCCGCAAATGTGCAGCGGGCGCTCTTCATTCGCGAGCGCCGATGACCGATGATGCTTGCACCCCTCCCACGCCCTTGCTGGCTTGGTAATTGGACCAGACAAGCGCAGCCACGTGACCCGGCGGAAGAAAAACGCTCGGACGAGCGCTTCGACCCCCAAAACGCGGAAGGATCCGCAAATGTGCAGCAAGTGCAGCGGGCGCTCTTCATTCGCGAGCGCCGATGACAGATGATGCTTTCAACGCTCCCACGCCCTTGCTGGCTTGGTAATAGGACCAGACAAGCGCAGCCACGTGACCCGGCGGAAGAAAAACGCTCGGAACGAGCGCTTCCACCCCCAAAACGCGGAAGGATCCGCACATGTGCAGGAAGTGCAGCGGGCGCTCTTCGTTCGCGAGCGCCGATGACCGATGATGCTGGCAACCCTCCCACGCCCTTGCTGGCTTGGTAATAGGACCAGACAAGCGCAGCCACGTGACCCGGCGGAAGAAAAACGCTCGAGACGAGCGCTTCCACCCCCAAAACGCGGAAGGATCCGCACATGTGCAGGAAGTGCAGCGGGCGCTCTTCGTTCGCGAGCGCCGATGACCGATGATGCTGGCAACCCTCCCACGCCCTTGCTGGCTTGGTAATAGGACCAGACAAGCGCAGCCACGTGACCCGGCGGAAGAAAAACGCTCGCGGGCGCTCTTCGTTCGCGAGCGCCGATGACCGATGATGCTGGCAACCCTCCCACGCCCTTGCTGGCTTGGTAATAGGACCAGACAAGCGCAGCCACGTGACCCGGCGGAAGAAAAACGCTCGAGACGAGCGCTTCCACCCCCAAAACGCGGAAGGATCCGCACATGTGCAGGAAGTGTCGCGGGCGCTCTTCGTTCGCGAGCGCCGATGACCGATGATGCTCGCAAACCTCCCACGCCCTTGCTGGCTTGGTAATAGGACCAGACAAGCGCAGCCACGTGACCCGGCGGAAGAAAAACGCTCGGAACGAGCGCTTCCACCCCCAAAACGCGGAAGGACCGCACATGGTTTAGGGTTTAGGGTTTAGGGTTTAGGGTTTAGGGTTTAGGGTTTAGGGTTTAGGGTTTAGGGTTTAGGGTTTAGGGTTTAGGGTTTAGGGTTTAGGGTTTAGGGTTTAGGGTTTAGGGTTTAGGGTTTAGGGTTTAGGGTTTAGGGTTTAGGGTTTAGGGTTTAGGGTTTAGGGTTTAGGGTTTAGGGTTTAGGGTTTAGGGTTTAGGGTTTAGGGTTTAGGGTTTAGGGTTTAGGGTTTAGGGTTTAGGGTTTAGGGTTTAGGGTTTAGGGTTTAGGGTTTAGGGTTTAGGGTTTAGGGTTTAGGGTTTAGGGTTTAGGGTTTAGGGTTTAGGGTTTAGGGTTTAGGGTTTAGGGTTAGGGTTTAGGGTTTAGGGTTTAGGGTTTAGGGTTTAGGGTTTAGGGTTTAGGGTTTAGGGTTTAGGGTTTAGGGTTTAGGGTTTAGGGTTTAGGGTTTAGGGTTTAGGGTTTAGGGTTTAGGGTTTAGGGTTTAGGGTTTAGGGTTTAGGGTTTAGGGTTTAGGGTTTAGGGTTTAGGGTTTAGGGTTTAGGGTTTAGGGTTTAGGGTTTAGGGTTTAGGGTTTAGGGTTTAGGGTTTAGGGTTTAGGGTTTAGGGTTTAGGGTTTAGGGTTTAGGGTTTAGGGTTTAGGGTTTAG